TCCTTAACGGTTTCCTTAAGGAATAATTGTATATGATGCAGCCAGAAGGTTTTGTCAATCCTAAGAATGCTAACAAGGTATGCAAGCTCCAGCGCTCCATCTATGGGCTGGTGCAAGCATCTTTGAGTTGGAACATTCACTTTGATGAAATGATCAAAGCGTTTGGGTTTATATAGATTTATGGAGAAGTCTGTATTTACAAGAAAGTGAGTGGGAGCTATGTAGCTTTTCTCATATTATATGTGGATGACATACTATTGATGGGAAATAATATAGAGCTTTTGGAAAGCATAAATGCCTACTTGAATAAGTGATTTTCTATGAAGGACCTTGGAGAAGCTGCTTACATATTAGGCATCAAGATCTATAGAGATAGATTGAGACGCCTCATTGGTCTTTCACAAAGCACATACCTTGACAAGATATTGAAGAAGTTCAATATGGATCAGTCCAAGAAGGGGTTCTTGCTTGTATTGCAAGGTGTGAGATTGAGCACAGCTCAACGCCCGACCTCGGCAGCAGAAAGAGAAAAGATGAGTGTCATCCCCTATGCCTCGGCCATAGGCTCTATTATGTATGTCATGCTGTGTACCAGACCTGATGCGAACCTTGCCATAAGTTTGGTAGGAAGGTAACAAAGTGATCCCGGTATGGAACACTGGACAACGGTCAAGAATATCCTGAGGTACCTAAAAAGGACTAAGGATATGTTTCTCATTTATGGAGGTGCCGAAGAGCTCGTCGTGAAGGGTTACGTCGATGCTAGCTTTGACACCGATCTGGATGACTCCAAGTCACAAACCGGATACATGTATATTTTGAATGGTGGGGCAGTCAGCTGGTGCAGTTGCAAGCAAAGCGTCGTGGTGGCATCTACATGTGAAGCGGAGTACATAGCTGCTTTAGAAACAACACAGGAAGGAGTCTGGATGAAGGAGTTTATCACCTACCTAGGAGTGATTCCCAATGCGTCGAGCCCGATGACTCTCTTCTGTGACAACACTGGAGCTATTGCCATTGCCAAGGAGCCCAGGTTTCACAAGAAGACCAAGCACATCAAGCGCCGCTTCAACTCCATTCGTGAATATATTCAAGATGGAGACATGGATATTTGTAAAGTACATATGGATCTGAATGTTGCAGATCCGTTAACTAAACCTCTTCCACGAGCAAAACATGATCAGCACCAGAACTCTATGGGTGTTCGATTCATCACAACGTAACTAGATTATTGACTCTAGTGCAAGTGGGAGATTGTTGGAAATATGCCCTAGAGGCAATAATAAAATGGTTATTATTATATTTCCTTGTTCATGATAATTGTCTATTGTTCATGCTATAATTGTATTACCCAGGAACAGTAATACATATATGAATACATAGACCACAACATGTCCCTAGTGAGCCTCTAGTTGACTAGCTCGCTGATCAATAGATGGTTATGGTTTCCTGACCATGGACATTGGATGTCATTGATAACGAGATCACATCATTAGGAGAATGATGTGATGGACAAGACCCAATCCTAAGCATAGCACAAGGTCGTGTAGTTCGTTTGCTAGAGCTTTTCTAATGTCAATTATCTTTCATTAGACCATGAGATTGTGCAACTCCCGGATGCCGTAGGAATGATTTGGGTGTATCAAACGCCACAATGTAACTGGGTGACCATAAAGGTGCACTACAGGTAAGTGTCTATTGGGTTGGCACGAGTCGAGACTGGGATTTGTCACTCCATATGACGGAGAGGTATCTTTGGGCCCACTCGGTAATGCATCGTCATAATGAGCTCAATGTGACTAAGGAGTTAGCCGCAGGATCATGCGTTACGGAACGAGTAAAGGGACTTGTCGTTAATGAGATTGAACAAGGTACGGGGATACCGACGATCAAATCTCGGGCAAGTAACATACCGATGGACAAAGGGAATTGTATACGGGATTGATTGAATCCCCGACATCGTGGTTCATCCGATGATCATCATGGAACATGTAGGAGCCAATATGGGTATCCAGATCCTGCTATTGGTTATTGGCCGGAGAGAGATGTCTCGGTCATGTCTGCATGGTTCCCGAACCCATAGGGTCTACACACTTAAGGTTCGGTGGCACTAGAGTTGTAATGGGAAATTGTATGTGGTTACCGAAAGTTGTTCGGAGTCCCGGATGAGATCCCGGACATCACGAGGAGTTCCGGAATGGCTTGAAGGTGAAGATTTATGTATGGGAAGTCCAGTTTCAGTTGCCGGAAGGTTTCAGGGTTATCGGTATTGTACCGGGACCATCGAAAGGTTTCCGGGGGTCCACTGGGTGGGGCCACCTACCCCGGGGGGCCAAATGGGCTGAATATGGGTGGGAACCAGCCCCCTAGAGGGCTGGTGCGCCCTCCCAAGGGCCCAGGCGCCTAGGGTTGGAAACCCTAAGGGGTGGGGGCACCTCCTACCTGCTTGGGGGGCAAGTCTCCCCCCCTTGGCTGCCCCCCCCCCTCTAGATGCATCTAGGGGGCGGCCCCCTCTCCCCTTCACCCTATAAATAGTGGGGTGGGGGTGGGAGGGTAGCTGCACCTCAGCCCCTGGTGCAGCCCTCCCCCCTCATACACCTCCTCCTCCTCCGTTGAGCTTGGCGAAGCTCTGCCGGAGAAACACGAGCTCCACCACCACGCCGTCGTGCTGCCGGAGTTCTCCCTCAACTTATCATCTCCCCTTGCTGGATCAAGAAGGAGGAGATGTCCCCGGGTTGTACGTGTGTTGAACGCGGAGGCGCCGTCCGTTCGGCGCTTGGATCGGATCTTCCGCGATTTGAATCGCCGCAAGTACGACTCCATCAATCGCGTTCTTGTAACGCCTCCGCTTAGCGATCTTCAAGGCTATTAAGATGCACTCCCTCTCTCTCATTGCTAGCATCTCCTAGATTGATCTTGGTGACATATAGGAAATTTTTTGAATTATTACTGCGTTCCTCAACAATGCCATGGTGCAAGAATATATCAACTTAAACATCTCCAGCGGGTTCCCGTACTTTGCTCCCACTTGTCCGTCTGGATAGTTCGGACATGGCAGGACAAAAAAGGCCAATCATCGGGCTCCTCTAGATGCAACCCAACATGGGACTATTTGCGGACGCTTAAATCCACCCCAAATAAGCAAATATACCTTCGGCTAACTCATCTCACACCTTGGAGGTTGTCAGGATCTGGTGGGCACGATATGGCATGACTGGGAAGCTAGACGACGCAGGAGGTGGAGTTGGCGACTACGTACAGTCAGTGTGTGGGCCTCCTTGGCATGCCATGGAAAGGGAGGAAGTGCAGCAGAGATAGGTATGCATCAAGCTCCCATGATGTGGTCGTGGTGATGGTCTAACAGACAGTAGGAAACTGGCATGAGGCTGAAGCGAGATGGGGGTAAGGCAAGGAATAAGTCAGCAAAAAAAGGTGATGCCAAATATATGACATGTATAACACTAACTTCTAACATGTCACAAAAATTCGGAGCAAAATTCATAACAAAAGTTGAGAAAGAAAACAGACAAATTCGGCACTGAATAGTGTCTAATGTAACATGGGCCTTAAATTTGGCCCGATATCGCTATTGACAGCAATTTAGTCATATTTGTTTCTGGTGCCATGTTTCGAATTTTGATTTGAACTTTTGTGATATCATATATTCTTTTTTAAACATCCTTACATTGTATTTTGTCGTCCGCCTCGGTAGCACTACAAAGATGGGTAGATACTTTCCCTTGCCTCTCCACCTGCAATCTGTAATTGTAACATGGTGTTCTTCTGAAATAACACGTCTGCGAAGACTTCTTGGAGGAGTATTTTAAGAAGGGACACACGAAAGGAAAAGACCATAAAATACTACTCCCTCCGTCTCAAAATAAATGTCTTGAGCTTAGTACAAATTTGTATTAGAGTTAATACAAAGTTGAGACACTTATTTTGGGATGGAAGGAGTAATACAATTGTGCATGGAAACTGGAAAGGCCGTGTTTATGTAACTGAAATATCTGTTGCAAACAACTCATAAGGAGTTCGTTGAGTTTCAGCTTAGCCAAAGTTTCTGAATTTTCTAAAATACTTCTGTGAAGAAACACCCAACCAAATTCCCCATCCTCCACATGTCCAAAACATTTCGCAGTCTCCATTAAAAGAATGGAAAGAAGGAAAACAGAGGAGATGACGACGACTCAGATCGCTGTCCCCCTCGAGCTCTCTGCAGGGGAACATTTTCACGTGCATAAATGCAGGCCAGAAATTTGCCGCAGAAGGCCCAGTGCAGTGCTGCAGCACTACTGCGCAGCAGTAACACATTTCTGGCAGCAAATAATACTCGCCCGCCCATCGGATCAGAGAAACCGGCGTCAGGCCGGGACTGCGCCCAGAGCAGAAAGAACCAGCCAGCGGAATCTTTCTGCTCACGCCTTGTCTGATCTTTGTTAGCGTTAGTTTAAGCGTGGTGGTTGACGACATCGATGGTTTACGGCCACTAGCAAATTCTCTTGTCTCCGATCGAATTCGGATTTCTGTTCTTCCTCGCGAGCAGAAACTGTCGCCTCGGGGAATCCTATCGAATGCAGCTCGAGGAAGCCATGAAATCAAACGGTTAGCATTGCACTGACAAGAAACAAAACTCCTAATTCACCGTGGCACAGCCAAACAAAAGCATAATCCAATCCAATCCGCAGGAGACAGGCACAGGAATCCCCCCGTCTTGCTTCAGAAGGAGGAAGAACATTTCAAGAACACAAGACAAGAAGAGAGGAGCAGAGCAGCATTACTTATACAAGTAGTAGCATCAAGAATTTACAAATCAGCAGCGGCGGCAGCAGCAGCAGCAATCATCATCATCGGAATCACAATACCCTCCTGGAATCCCAGAACCCACTCTCGCGGTAACAATCCATCCATCCATCCAGTAATTAATCGCCCTTATTTCCCCGAGCCCAACGCCATCATGTCATCATCAATCTCCCCCATCAGAGGCGAGGCTCAGACCCTCACCTCTCCATCTCGGCCTCGTCGTCGCCGGCGGCGGCCGGCGGGGGAGGCGACGATAGCTGGGCCGCCGCGAGCGCATCGGCGAGCGCGCGCATGGCCTTGACCTGCATCTCCAGCGCGGCCACGTAGTCGGCCGTCTCCTCGAGCAGGTCGGGCGCCTGCAGCTTCCGGCACCCCGGGACGAGCCGGCCCAGCACGCGGAGCCGGTCCTTCACCTTCCGCTCCTTCAGCAACGGCGGCTCGCCGGCGGACGCCGCGGCGGCCGCGCGCGCCGGCGGGCGGCGGTGGCGTCGGATCTTGCCACCGGCCTTGACGAGCACGCGGCGTCGGCAGGACGCGGCGCCGGCCAGCAGGATGGCGCGGCTCCAGCGGGACTGCCCGCGCGCCGTGAGCGCCAGCGCCGAGTCGGCGGCGGCCTTGACGGCGCGCGGCTGCGGCGGCTGCGCGGACGAGGCGGCGCCCGACCGCGTGGCCCGCAGCGCGTCCAGCAGGCGCCGGCCGTAGATCCGCTCCTGCGTGCCGCTTCGCCACCTGGTCTGCGGCGTCCCCGCGGCCCCCGGCGCGGCGGCCCCGCCCGGTTTCCCCCGCCGCTTGGCCCCGCCCATCCTGACCCCCGCCGCGGCGGACGACGACGACGAGGAGGACCCGCCTATAGAGATCATGGCCGCGCAGCTCGATCGAGCAATCAATCGGCGGGTGGCGTGAGGAAGTGAGTCAGCGCAGCGGGGGATGGGGCGGCTTAAAGGTGGGTGGGAGAAAGGAGAAGATGGTGGTGGTGGTGGTGGTGGTGGAGATGGTGGGAGTATGAAGAAGAAAGGGGGAGGAGAGATTAGCTTTCCGTCGCGGGGGTGGGCATACTTATTTGCTGGTGCGGTGGAGGTGATTAGCGAGTGGATTAGACATTGGAGCCAAGGAGGAGGAGTGCGGTGAGGTGAGGTGAGGTGGTGCGGGTGTTGGCTGCTCGTTCGTCGCCGCGCCTTTGTTTGGTGTGGAATGGAATTTGGAGCTGTGACGTGGCCACCGCGCGGCTCGCTCGCTCGCTCGCTCGCTACGGTAGGCAGCGGTCGTTATTGAGTGCGCGCTTTCTTATTTCCCCTTTCTTTTATACTATTAGTATCCTCCCTATTTCTGCAAAGTGTCACGGTATTTTTAAACCCTTCTTAGGCCCAGCTTTCAGTATATCTCCGTCTGGGTGATATTTTGCACTTAAAACTTGTGCACACAAAGAATCTGGGTTCTGAATTAGTCGCCAACATTGCTTTGCTAGCATAGCAAGATTAAAATTGTGTAGGTTTCTAAATCTCAAACCCCCTTTCTTCTCCGGAATGCACAAGTTTTACCATGCAAACCAATGCGTTTTCCTTTTATCTTCATTATCACCCCATCAATGATGGCCTTACAAATCCCCTTCGGCAATTTGAACACAGACATAGCATATGAAGGAATTGCTTGCGCCACAGATTTTACTAGGATCTCTTTACCCTGCATAGATAATGTTTTAGGCATTCCAACTTTTAAGAGAGGATGTATTTGGCGTGTTGGAACTGGCTCCAAAGTAAACATATGGCAAGATCCATGGATCCCATCGAGTCCTTCACGGCAAGTAATCACTCAAAGGGGTGGGATAATGCTCACAAAAGTTGGACAGTTGATCGACCCGCATACGGGGCAATGGGATGAAGCTTTGATCCGCGACGTATTTTCTCCAGTTGATGTGTGTAGAATTTTCAGTATACCACTCAACGTTCAGTTGACAGAGGATTTTGTGTCCTGAAACTACACTCGTTCGGGCACATTTTCTGTCAGGACGGCTTATCATAAAGAGTTTGATCACCAGTTTGGTTCAAAATGGATAAGAGAAGATGGGCAAGGCAGCGTCAGTATAAATCATATATGCAAGGATGTATGGCGAGTACGAATTGCAGGGAAGATTAAACACTTCCAATGGAAAGTACTGCATGGTGTTCTTCCCTGCTTTGGGGTGTTGGCTGGGTGCCATATCCCATGCTCATCACAATGCCCGGTATGCTCAATAGGAGTGGAAGATGTGCAACATTGCTTGTTCACATGCCGAAGGACCAAAGAAATTTGGTCGCAATTGGGTTTGTTGGATAAAACCCATAGGGTATTAAGGAAGATATGTCCAGCTCAATCACCATGGAAATTTTGTTAAAACTACATGAAGGATCTTCTGAGGTGCCGATGGCCGAGTTAGCTGTCGTGGCAGCCTGGTGTATTTGGTGGCAGCGCCGTCAACTAGTAAAGGGCGTCGCGATTCAGATGCTAGAGAAACCCGCTTTGTCCATCAGGGTGCTTGCTACTAATGATATTAGGGCAATGTCACCTAGAGTGCCTAATAGGAAGTATGATTTTATGTGGAAGAAGCCAAGCAATGGGGTGGTGAAAATAAATATCGATGCATCTTTTCATTGTGATACTTTGTCCCGGGGCCAACTGAGCTATTGCAAGGGACAACAATGGTGATTTTGTTGTTGCGCGAATTGGTTTTGTCCACATGTTCGATGCGTTGATACTGTTGAACTAATCGCTATTCAGAATGGCATTTTTCGGGCAGCCAGTTTGGGGTGTATTTCTCTGGAAATTGAATCACATAACTCGTTTGCTGTTGATACATTGAATTCCGTGGAGGAATACCTGGGCCCTGATGTGGCCATCGTGGCAGAGTGTAAACAAATGGCGCTAGAGTTTGGGAGGATTTCCATCAAGCACTGGTATCGTGAAGCGAATCAAGTTGCGGATGAACTAGCAAAGAATTCTTTTACCAATAGATCTTCTAGTTCTTGGGAGGCTTTAATTCCTGATTTTATTTCTCAACTTCTTGTAAATGATATGTCTATTATTTGAGAAATAAGTTTTTTACCCGTCAAAAAAAGAAGTGGCATGGTATTTATTTTCCCAAGAAACACCCATTACAAGGACGCGACGATCCGGCTCCCAAGCCAGCCGCTCCCGAGTGTGAACAGTAAAATCAAAAGAAATAAAAAAATTGAAATGCAAATTGCTTGAGTGTGCGATGTCCGTGTCAAATTTGGTGGTGTTTGAACATCTGAGTAGCTCTCAGCGAAAAACAAAATTTGGGCACATGAGAAAGTTCAAAAAATGGACTGACCTGATTTTGTATTATTATTATTTTTGCCACGAGATTCACACATATCCAAACACCACAACATTTTGCCCGGACATCACACATTTGAGTATCTTGCTTGAAAAAAAATTGTTTTTTTTCTAGTATTTCTTTCATTTACTATTCATCGAGATCAGATGAGTCTAGACTCAGAATATTCGCGATTACAACTCGTAAACTCAGCAACGTCCAATGAAGAACGGATCAAAGTTATAGAGCTTGAAGATTGACAAAGTCACCACAGACATCTCACTATCGATTGGAATGTCCCCTTCCTCTGAACGAATAATCTGCATTAGTGAGACATCAAAGCATCAAAGCTGGGTTTTACCCCTGCTGGACTGAGGATATCACTGTCCTCATAACCATTCAACCACTAATTGGTTCTCTGTTATAGTGTTTGTGTTTCTCAACGGTGTGGTTAAGGCCTTCTGTTTTAGAGAAATGCGGAAGAGGCGCTTTTTTATCTTCACAACTGTTGCAATGGTGATGTATGGCCACCTTGTAAAAACCATGTGTGCAATCCACGCTGGTTGTCCGCGTTGAAGTTGGAGTCACCAAACCCCTTAGGTAATTTGGAATAACTCGAATGTTTGTGAGTTTTGTGTTATTTGTGCGCTTGTTAAATTGCTATACGTTTCTGCTTAGGTATTAAAGCTATTTTTATCACTTGCTTACTAAAATGAAGCAAAATTTGCCACCAGATTACAAAACATGTGTAGCCAGTTGGAGATCTTTTAAGTCCAGTTGACAAAGCTTTGTCACCAAATTAAACTCGCCTTTCCTTTTTTCCTTTTTATAACGAAGTCATACTTTCTTGTTTTTTGTGTAAAGACACTAACACTACTAGAATTTGCTAATTTGCCGTCTGCCAGCTCGTTGCTGTCAGCTGGCGGACGGCAAAGAGCGTGGGTGGCGGACGTACGGGGACGACCTAACGGCCGATTTCTTTGCCGTCAGCGAGCAGACGGCAAAGAGAACGGCCGTTAGGTCGTCCGTTTCCCCTCGGCCCCACCCCACTAGGTACGTTCTTTGCCGTCTGCTAGCAAACGGCAAAGAACTGACCTACTATAGAAAAGGGGCCGCGCGCACGGCCCCTCCCTTCTCTCTCTCGATCTCCTCTTCACCACCTGCGCCATCCCCCTCGACAGCCGCTCCACCCCGCCACCCCGTCCCATCGCCCCACCGCCCCGCTGGCACGCCGCCCCGGCCCGGTGCCCCGCCCAATCGCCCCGGCCCTGCTGGCCTCGCCGCCCC